TAAGACTGGTTTCTGAGTTTCACAGCTGGGGTGGACAATGTTAAGCATCAGGCTTTCAAATGAATTAAAAGTCTGTCTTGGTCTTTCATTAATCAGTCTTCCTCACCGTACTGTGTGATGAAGGCGATGCAGCTGTCCACAATGATGGGGATGTCGTTCCTGCTCATCTGCTGGTCTCTCAGAGCGTTTCCTTTACCGCCGGCTGCTCGCTGAATGTCGGAGTACCACAGAGAGAAGTCTGCGCGACCAACGCCCTGCAGGTGGAGCGTTCTGACGGGAACACCGAATGCACGTGTGTCAAAATGTGAAGCAGACAACAAACTGAAGCCTGGACCAGACAAACACTCACCTTCCTTTTTCCACCAGGACCAGGATGTCTTTCTTCTCCTGGTTCTCCATCTCGGAGGTGATACCTGAACACAGAGAGCTCCGTCAATAACAACCAGACTCCATCAGAACTATTCACCAGGACCTGGACCGGGACCAGCACACGTACTCAGCTCCTGCAGGCGGTTGAGGTTGATGATGTCCTCGGCGGCGCCGTCATTGCGGGGACAGATGAACAGGTTGGACTTCTGCAGGACAAAGTAAGCCTCCTTCCACTGCTGAGGATCCAGCATCGCCCGGTACCGTAAAAGCCCGACCCGCTCAAACTCTCGGGTCAGCAGGCAGTGACAGCTGAGCGGCGTGGCAGCCTGGTGACGGTCGCAGCACAAACAGGGATCAGTTTGTTATTCAAGGAAGTTTTTAGGGAAAATATTTTGTGTTAGAACAATTTTGTAACATTATTTATTTGATTGTTTGTAACATGAACAGCAGAACAAATGTGTTCAGCTGCTCTGTGAGGAGGACGCAGACGAAATGCGGCGCAGACCTTTCCGATGGCTTTGGTCCAGCTGTGCAGCTCGTCGGCCGCTTCCAAGCCAAACAGAAAGAGTTTCTCCGTCGTCAGATACAACTCGAAGGTGTAACGAAACCTGAGGGAGAAAAGTTTGAGTTTGACCAGGCTGACCATCTGAGCTTTCCGTTTAACCATGGAGCTTGGCGAATAAAAACCTGTCAATGAATCCGTTGTTGTTGGAGGAGTCGGGTCGACTGATGCCCAAACACACGATGTCTTTAGCGCTGATCTGCAGGCTGGGATCAGCTGATCGATCCGACTCATAGAAGACCAGAGACTGATCCACCGAGCACCAGAACTTCTGGAAGTCTGATGATGAGAACAGAATTTTACACGAGACTCAACTCTGAATGTTCATCTCCCTCATCTTCATCTGCAACATTAGTGTTGCTCACAGGCGGGCGGTGAAGCAAACTGTCAGTGCCATAAATGATTCTGCATACGTCGACAGCTACGTCATGATGCTACAGAGTGGCTGTAGTCTGCTCTGATTGTTATTGTATCAGCGTAGCCTCAAATTCCACAAGAATTCCCAGAATTCCTTTGTGTTTGCTGCCAGTGCGCACACGGCTCATAGAATCTGATGGAGTTTGGAAGCTGTGCTTCAGCCGTTGGGACGAAACAAAACACAATCTGAATAAACGTCTAAGGAGCAACTTTTACTTTGTCAGCACTGTTTAGAAATCAGATAATCCTTATGTCGTGGGAAACGAGATGTTTGAAAAGAGATGACGTTAAAAAACACCACATTTCAAGCTCGTGCTACAACGTCCTGGTCTGTGCTACCAAGCCAGCAGCCTTTGTGAGCTAACACAGCTAAGATCCTGCCCTGTGCTCTGAGCCTGAACACTGAAGCAGAAACCTGCTGAAGACCTGAAAACGTCTATGACAGTTTTTGGTTTGGGTGAATTTTGGCAGATGTTGGAGGCGTTTACCGCCTCTTTGTTCTGATCTGAGGACTGTTTAAACCTTAAACCCTCTGACCCCGCCTCCTCCTACCTTCTCTGTTTTTTCTGGACATCGTTCCTCTGTTGGCAGAGCTCGACTTGTAGAGGTACCCAGAGTGAAGAACCGGGTGCATGATTTCATCGTAGACGCTGGGATCTGACCGATAAAAGCACAACATTATCAGATAAACACTGTCAGCCAATCACATCAACGAAAGAGAAATATTGCACTGCTGCAACTGGAGCAAACTGACACTGACGCAGGTGTTCTTCTGCTGAGCCAACACTCGGAAAACTGCTCAGTGAAGCCGAGCGTGACAGGGAGAAAGCCTCCCTGCAGGACAGCGCTGATAACGGAGCGGCTGACCTTCAGCGCCAATGCTGCTCCGCACCGAGCTCAGTCACTGACTTCACACGTTGAATTTAATCGGATCAAATACAACGCCCTGCTTCCTCGCAGCTCAACACTGCAGAGTGCATTAGAGTACAGCAGAGCACAGTAGAGTCCAACCTGATGTGCTGGAGTGATCCGCTAGGTGGGGGTGGCGGCCGTTGGAGTC